TCCTCTAGGCATGTTCTAACCCAATGTAAGGAAGATAAGAACCTTGAAAAAATGTTAGAGAAATTGCTAACTAGAATAACCAGTTTAGAGAAGAACATAAATGACCTGATGGAGTTTAAAAACACAACACAAGAACATCGTGGAGCATACACAAGAATCAATAGATGAATCCATCAAGTGGAAAAAAGGATATCAGAGGCTGAAAATTATTTCAACTATTGTAGATGGCAGTGTGGCGATTCCTCAAGGATCTAGAACCAGAAATACCATTTGACCCAGAAATCCCATTACTCAAAGGATTATAAATCATTATACTATAAAGACACATGCACATGATGTTTATTGTAGCACTGTTCACAATAGGAAAGACTTGGAAACAACCCAAATGCCCATCAGTGATAGACTGGATAAAGAAAATGTGGCACATACACACCATGGAATACTATGCAGTTATACAAAAGGATGAGTTCATGTCCTTTGCAGAGACATGGATGAAGATGGAAACCATCATTCTTAGCAAACTAACACAGGAACAGAAAACCAAACTGCATGTTCTCATTCATAAGTGGGAGCTGAACAGTGAGAACACATGGACACAGGGTGGGAAACATCACACACAGGGGCCTGCGGGGGTTGGGGAGTTAGGGGAGGGATAGCATTAGGGCAAATAACTAATGTAGATGCTCGGGTGTTGGGTGCAGCAAACCACCATGGCACATGTATACCTGTGTAAGAAACCTGTACATTCTGCACATGTATCCCAAACTTAAAGTATAATAAAAAAACATTGATAACTTTCCAAACTGACTTGCATAACCTCATTTAATGGCTACATAATATCTTTTTGGATTTTTAAAAATTTATGTTACCATTCTCATATTATTGAGCAATTAAGTAATATCTATTTTTGCAATCATTAAGCATTCATGCAAAAGTATATTTGTAGTTTAATATTTCCAAACTTTGAAAGTTACTTGTTTATAGTAAATTAACAGGAGAAGGAGTATTGGGTCTAAAATTTAAACATTTTAATAATATTAGTAGGTATTGAAAATTGTTATTCGGAGACATATTGCTGACGTACACCTTTTTTAGGAGCATAGGAAAGTGTTTATTTATTTGTACCTTTGCCTAAATGGAGTGTATGTGTGTGTGTGTGTGTGGTGTGTGTGTGTGTGTGTGTGCGTGTGTATATGTTCTATCAAACTTTATCAATTGTTCATTTGGATTTCAGTAACATGAAGTGTCTGCTGTTGTGGACAGTATAACGTCTCTGAGTAAATTAGAGAAATATTTTACAGAGTGTGAGGATGTAAAGTAAGGACCGGTGATAATAAAATTCTAGGTGTGCTCTTGTATACTTTCTTTCAAAATAACTTACCAATTAAAACGAAATGAGAAGGAGCAAAGAAATATATTGATGTTATTTCAGATATAGGGCAAGGTAGCATGACAAAATGAGATGAATAGAATGGACATAGGAAATGCATTAAAAAAATCTAAGTTTGATTACCAATTTTTTAATGGAAAAACACACTAACCATCTGTAAGACTCAGTTTTCCATTTTTTAAATGAGGCCATTAAACTTATTTGTGTTTATGATGAGTGAAGATAACGGGTCAATAACACAGCAGATAGTGTGTAATCTCAGTGCATTTTCCTCAGCAAAATTTAATCCATGATTGGAAACTCCAACATCTGTGATTTTTTTCCAGAAGTAGAAAATGCCTTCAGATAAGGTTTTCTGAAAGTAGATAGAGAGCTAGAAAAAAAATGGCCTATTTATTTTCAAAATGCTAGGTGTGATTTACTCCAAATCAGACCACAGAAAATAAAGAAATGGTGGAGAAGGGGAGGGATTGTTAATGTGAAAGCAGAATCTAGTTTACCCTCAAACTAAATAAACATGTTTTATATTCAACATTTTTATTCAGAGAATTCCTGACATCGTTAACACCACAGCCAACACCCATTACTTCATTCTCATTTAAGCTCTTAACAATTTGAGTTTGATACTAAACAGAAAGAGTAAGATCCAGACTCCTTTGCAAAAAATTGCAAAATAAGATGGAAAATACATAGTGTGTCAATAAATCATATTATACTACTATCAAAATCAAAAAGGCCCCACTGCACATTCAGTATAGGTGGAATAATGCTCTTAATAATATGACAACTGTAAACTGGAAGGAAATAGTATTTGGAAGATATATTCTTGGTAAAGTGAAATATCAAAAGCTTCTGAAAACTTGGAAATAAAACTTGATAAATTTTGACACAAATGAGCAAAATCTGTGAGAAATTTTACAGACATAAGTCAAATAAAGAGATGAGCTCTTTTATATAATAAATTTTCTTTAAAAAAATGAATACATCAGCCTGGTGGGGTGGCTTGTAATACCAGCACTTTGGGAGGCTGAAGTAGGCTGATCATTTGAGGTCAGGAGTTCGAGACCAGCCTGGCCAACGTGATGAAACCCCATTTCTACTAAAAATACAAAAATTAGTTGGCTGTGGTGACATGAACCTGTAGTCCCAGCTACTTGGGAGGCTGAGGCAAGATAATCACTTGATCTCAGGAGGTGAAGGTTGCAATGAGTTGAGATTGTGTCACTGCACTCCAGCCTGGGTGACAGAGTGAGACTCCGTCTCAAACGTGTATATATATATATATATATATATATATATATATCTTTAATTTTAAAAAGGCAATTTAAAAGACAGGATTAAATAATGACAGATCATTCAAGATGATTCAGGTTCTGAAGCATGAGTGACTCAAACAAGGAATATATCATATAAAAATATTCAAATACATTATCATATATCTTCTCCATATTTTATATCATAACATCAAAATATTTACCACATGCACTCAAAAAATGTAAGATATAAAACTAAAAAGTTATCTTAACATGCATGCTTGAAAGTTTTTACAGAGCAATTTGAAGCATGTTCTGGAATATCAGAAAGCCAGAAGTTTTAGGAAGAGATGTATCTATGATTCGTGACACAATAATAAAAATAGTGGTCTAATTTTTGAGAAAATTCAACAGTAAATTCAAGAGACTTTTATGATTAAAATGATGAGGCAAGTGAGGAAGACAGGAATCAGGGCCACCTACAATGAGCATCTGACTTAAGCAAAAGAGTCATTTGATGGTTCCAGGCACTGATTTGGGAGCCTAAAATAAAAAAGCACATAGCCCTAGGTAGGTGATTAATTCAAAGTGTGGCAGTTTGAGTTTGAAATATTTGTGAAACCTCCAGTGGAACCATGAAATACAAAGCCCCATATGTAGATATGGAGGTATCTGCTGGAGACAAAAACGTGAGAATCAGTAGATAAACAATTATTATTTCGTGGGGTGAATGAGATCGATTTATTTAAAAAGTGAATATAGCATTTGATGTGGAGCAAGCACACTCCTGAATGCTTTTACAAATATTAACTCATGTAAGCCTCATAGTGACTATGAGGTGAGTGTGTAGATTGGGAAGGGATATCCTAGAAGTGGACTCTGAACAACAAAGAGAAAACAAGTATGAGAAAATGGAGAAGAAATGGCCAGTGAAGCAGGAGAAAACCTGGGAGGCTGCAGTTACACAAACACTAAGGGAAGTGAGTATTTCCAAAAATTGTCATGAGTCACCAATGTCTATAGCACAGAGTGTTCCGGAAGGCAAGGGGTAAACATATGCATGGGTTTAACAATGACACGCATGGTGCCCCCTCACACTAATAAATATTTTACAAGGTTACTGGTGATGCCATTAATGACAATGCACCAGTAAGTGAGATGGGGTAGGAACAGAAATGGAGGCTATGAAAACAGAAATTTGGGATGTTATTTTATAAATCTACTCTGAAAATTAACAGAAAGAATATGAAGGAAAAAATTTTGTGAAGGTTATCATTTTATGTGGCTAAAGAGGGAGAGTTAAAAGCTATAAGAAAAGTAAAATGAATAGCAGATGAGATCCCAGGCACAGGTGAAAAGAATTTAACTATAGGATGAAGAAAAGATTTATTTTCCATTAAAATGATAGGTTTTCTTGGTGGTGGATACAAATATATTTGCAAAGTGTGTGTAATGAATGTGTGTGTTTGTGTTTTGCGGGGTGGGGGGGCGGGGGACAGAGATAGATATAAACAGAAAGATAGATTAGAAAGTTACCGAAGAGCATATAGGAAGATGAAAAATTTCTTGCTGTGATTCAATTTTGTGTGTGAGAAAGAGATTGAGATTGCTTTTCAGAATGATAAGAAGTAGTAGACTTTTAAAAAGGTAAAGGTTTGATGTTTTCTCTAGGTAAAATAAAACGGAGCATTAATAATTTATCACTAACAGATTTCTGGGCTGCTGGCATCCCAACCATAAATTAATAGTAACTTCTGCTGCCTTAAAAATTCAGCAATTCTCCACTCCAGATACAGGAATTTAATATACAAATGATTATAGTTGGATTTTATCAACTGGACAGAGATAAAGAACAAAAGAGGCAAGACTTTGAAAGGTTTTAAGAGGAAATACGTAAGTGGTTTATTACTTAATCATAAACTAATCATTTTTTCTACATGTGTCCTTTCAATGCTTAGAAATGTAGATAATACTTCAAATTAGTAATATCGTACTTGGGAATTAAAAATATTAAAATGGCTATGTGCATGTTCACGTTTATTTTACTAGAGAAAATAAAATTACATTTTAAACAATGTAGGTTTCCAACATAATGAAAGTTATTAGATATGGTGGCACATCTATCTACCCGATATAATATACACTAAGTTAAATGGGCAATGATAATGACTAGAAGATAATTTGGGGAATAATCCATGTGATATGAATTTTAAATGCTGTACACAAAAATATATGCATGCTTTAAGATTAACCAAGCACAAATTGGTGTTCATGGAGAAAAAGATGATTTGGTAAAAGGAAATACCTTAGGTCAATGAGATTGTGAATGCATTTTCATCATTTCTCTTCTACTTAACAAAAATTTTTAGTCATCTTGTTTGCTTGCCCATGAAACGTTCTCTGTTACATCAGACAGTGAGAAGGCTCCTTAATATGTTCATAAATCTAGCTCTCAGAGAAGGTTAGCCTATGCTCACCTAAGGAGTAAATCACCGTTAACCCACACTAACCATGGTGATTCCATTAACTTTACAGTGTTTATTTAGATATTTCTGTATGAACTCTGGTTAATAAGTTGAGAAGGGATGTATCTGCATGCTTGGGGATGGGTGATTTTGAAAATCTTCCTTGCTATGAATGCTGCTATATGGGAAGAACCACAAGGTAGCTCCTCCTCCTATTTGTCCTGTCTGTAAGTGACACCCGTTGCTGAAGCTGCTACCTTGTAACGTTGAGGCAGATTACCTAAAAATAAAATTCATCTGCTTCAAATGATGGAAATAAAAACATAGGAAAAACCTGGTTCCTCGTTGAAGGCACCATTCTTGAAGCAGCTTACCTCTGAATTTTGTATAATGTGGGATAATAAATTTAGGGTAATTATTTATGCTCCTTGTGTTGTGATGTTTTCCTGTTAGCAGCCAAATATAACCTCACAGTTGTTTTGCTGTTTTTGCTTTCATAAATGAACTATTAACCAATTAAAAAATTGATAGAAGGATGCTTAGGAAATGAGAAGATAATGTTGACAATACAAGCCCATGCCAAATTCCCGTTTCTTATCATTAAAATTGTCCTGGCATTAAAGCAATGCTTATTATTATTATTATTATTATTATTATTAACATAAGAGTTAAATTTTGAGATTATAAAGTATACTCAGATTAAAATAAAGTATGGGAAACAATGAAGCAAAACATTCTAAACTTGAAAAATAAATTAAGATTGCAAACAAAGAGTGACTTAAAACAAAAACAACAAAAATCAAATCTCCTAAGTAATTGCAGATTTGTTGACTAATCATGTTTACTAAAAGAGTGGCTAGCTTGAGCCTCAGAGATGAGGGTGCAGTGAGCCGAGATCAAGCCACTGTGTGCTCCAGCCTGGGCAACAGAGTGAGACTCTGTCTCAAAACAAACAAACAAGGCCGGCCGGGCACAGTGGCTCACACTTGTAACCCCAGCACTTTGGGAGGCCAAGGCAGGAAGATCACCTGAGGTCAGGAGTTCGTGACCAGCCTAACCAACATGGAGGAAACCCCATCTCTACTAAAAATACAAAAATTACCTGGGCATGGTGACATGAGCCTATAATCCCAGCTACTCTGGAGGCTGAGGCAGGAAAATGGCTTGAACCTGGTAGGCTGAGTTTGCAGTGAGCCGAGATTGTGCCATTGCACTCCAGCCTGGGCAACAAG